GTCTATATTTTAATATATATGCCTGCTAAAAATTCAGGACAAAATATATGACCTAGAAAACTGCATCTATTCAATATCGGTTGTTGTATATATGATATAAAAGTTGAATGTTAACCGTTTTTAAAAAATTCAGCACTTCTGCAGCGACTTGATTGTACATTGTCCAATGGGTAACATAGAATGATAAATTGTTTGGGATTCAACTACACATGCTCTATTTTGTTCATTTTCTACCAAAAAATATTTTTTTATATAGTCTAGTATTTTCAAAAATACTAGTAGGATAAAAAAATACAAGAAGAGGTTCGCATAGGGATAATATTATTTATTTCAAAAATGGCAATAGCCTTCTCTTCTTGTATTGAAGAAGGCGTATTTGATTATTTTTTTCTGCTTTTTTTTAGACACCAATATGGCAATTCCTTCGAATCTCGATGTGAACTTTCTATATATATGAAAATACATTACCGCATAAATCACTAAAATTATTGACTCTCGCTCTTATATAGACACAAACAGATAGTTGCATCGTTTCACTTTTTAAGATATTAACGTTATAAGTTGTCTACGACTTAGCGCGGACAATAAGCGGGTAAAGGAACTACTATCACGTGTCCTGCATACTCGGAGATTTGATAACATGATGATACATCGCAGATTCTGTTCGCTATTAGCGGTAGTTTCAAATTTAGTCATATATGCTGAGGCGGAACTTGGGCTAACCCTTATAGACTCGTTGACTGCTGACCATAACCTGGGTGTGGTTATTAGATTGGATAAGGGTAAGTCTGGCGATTCCTTCAAGGAGCGAATGAAAAATAAATTCGGCGACAAATATGATATGCAAGTGCGCGGAGTAATGTCGACCGGATCACAAGAGTTAATTGCTTTGGAGAGTCCCGATACAGACGTACTACAGAGTGTATTAGAAGATATCGATGTAGCTGCTGCCGAGTATATATCGCCGTACGCGTCAAAATTTGAACCAGGGGGTGCACAACCCATATGGCACCTGGACAGAATAAATCAAAGAGATCAGAGCTTGGATGGCAACACCGACCAACATGTGACTGGCAAAGCAGATGGGAAAGGTGTGGATATCTACGTAGTGGATTCAGGTGTCAATGTGAAGCACTCAAGCCTCTGGAAAGCGTTCAATTTTTACAATGTGTTCACGGACGAAGGTGCTGAGGATTACTATGGACACGGGACGCACGTTGCAGCCTTAGTAGGCGGGACGTTTGGTCCGGCCACAGGCTCAACCATCTATAGTGTGAAGGTGCTTGACAAGAATGGTTCAGGTAGCACACTTACAGTTCTTACTGGCCTGAACAGAATATTGGCCAAAGTAACAGAGTCAAAGAACCTGGACAATTTGAGTAAGAATCAGGTAATTGTAGTGATGTCGCTCACCGGTTCGCCATCTCCTGCGGTTGATGCGATGATCGTACAATTGTATCTCGCAAATGTTTTAGTTGTGGTAGCAGCTGGCAACCAGGGTGCAAATGCATGTGCCTATACTCCCGCTCGAAATCCTGCGGCCGTAACAGTAGGTGCCTCCAATATCAATGATGAATACGCCTCGTATTCTAATTTCGGATCTTGTGTCGATATTATTGCACCCGGAACGGACATCACATCTGCTTCAAAAGATGGAGTATCAGTAGTATATTCTGGAACGAGCATGGCCGCACCTTTAGTTGCCGGGGTGGCCGCTATGTTGTGGTCTCAGGAAAAAGAATTGAGCGCACGACAAGTCCGTCGGAATTTGTTGATAGGCAGCACATACATCAACGGTTATGACTACTTATTGGGGTCCACAGCCCTTCAAGGCACCCCCAATCGGTTCCTTTTCGGTCGTTTGGAGGTGATAGATGCGACATTCGCAGATTTTGAGAGTGGCGCAGTATCCTTCGACGATGTCGCATTCGCTGCTGGGTTTGACACAGCCGAACCTATGTATCTGTGGGAGGTGTGGGCGGCTGAAAGACGAAAGCGATATGGATCGCAATCCGAACAAGCTTCTACATTACCCACATTTGGATCAAATCTGGGTACTGCTTCAGGAAATCTTGGGACGGCTGATAAAAATACTTTCACATCTTTTTATCTTTCAGATACAGGCGGCCTATTGAGTTATGCCGGAATTGCCGCCGCGGAGGTCGAGCCCAATGGAAACTTAAATCTGAATGGGGTCAACGACCATCTGGACTTGGTTGGTGGTAGTCTATCCAGCATAGAAATAACTCAATTCTTATACAGCATTGGCTATGGTGAGATTCAATTGACGCTCTACGATCAATCGAATGACGACGGAGGTATATTCGGTAAAGTGATGCTACAGAGTGACGACGACTTTGAAGCTTCTAGAAGGAGGTATAGGGGCTAGGTAGCGGGGAACTAGAAGCACACCCGAGCGACCAAGCGACTGCGACATACATGAATATACAAATATACCTAAATACATATCTTGTAATATACACATAGTCGCGACATGTATATCAAATTTATTTAAAGTTTTCCTCCCCGGGATATTGTCTCTATGATATTTTGTATATGTAGTTTGGAATGAGAAAGTGATTTGCACTGTGCACATCACACTGCACAGGCTCACACTCATTCAGTATGAACCAGAGTAGACCCACCAAAAATATATATAATATATATAAATATATACGCAGTATCATGCGACGTATTTTTTAGTAAATAAGGCCGGTTTTGCTATATTAACCAGAGCCAGAGTTTTGGATGTCAACCGGAGTAATGTGAGTGAAAGTTGGAGTATTCTGATAAATCACAACAAACAATTTCTTTCCCTAAGCAAAAAGAGGGTCTACCCTCTTTTTGTCTTTGAAGAAAATATACAACAAACCGAAATATTGTGTTGTATTTTTTACGTCACGAGTAGCAGAATTTGATGTTGCCAAATCCGTCAGTACATCCGATTTCCAAGAATTTTGTGCTGAAAAATTATGGAAATCGATCCTTAATATTTTCTGATTATTCCGAAATCTTGACCAAAAATCCATATGTGCAAAGAAATGCAGAAATTAGTTACCGGAGTAACTATGTTTTACTCATCTCAAAATTTATTTCCCTATATTTGCTGCTGGTGTTTTTGTTTTGTTTTTTTGTTTCGTGTGTCTTTGTTTTGTTTTTTAAATTTTTGATGACAGTTGTATTTTATATATAAAAACCCCCCGAATGTACTCGCATAGCTATGCAAATCTGCTGTTTGTATTTATACATCAGTACAATGACAGTGAATTCAAATGTATGAGTAACCAGAAATAAAATTAGACCCCTATTTTATTATCACAAATATATCAGTGATTCTTCAGAATGACGATGTGCAGTTGTGCACAGCTGTAGAGTATAGAGTGTAGCCTGTACGTCTCGTGTATCACTGTAGAGTGTAGCCTGTACATCTCATGTATCACTGTAGAGTGTAGCTTGTATGTCTCATGTATCACGATGGACTGGCCCGCAGTGAACGTTCGCTTGGACACATTCCGTGTGTTGAACTACACGCTAACAGGTCTGATGACACTGTGCACAATCTTGAACTTCTATGTTTTCCAACAGACAGTGATGCAACTCCACGAAATTCAGAAAGAAATAGGCCTGTCGACCAGCAGCAGGTACGATATGAGTGGGTGCATTAGTTCAGTATATATCGGGCTATTCATTTGGCAATGGTATACGTTTAAAGTCCATACGTGCTACACTATCATCGACTGAACGACAAGGTTTATATTCCAACAACATCAGGTCGTTTGTAACGCGGCATTCACACGACATACTGTATGAAGTCAAATGCAACACAATTGACGCTTTAAGATGAGCAAGTAAGCACAGCTTTAGGACGGCATTTGCTATTTGTATATTTTGTGCCACATATAATATAGAGATGCACCCCCTTGAATATATACGTACGTAAGGGAAATGTATGTACAAACAAGGTACACAAGTCTATGTATTTGAAAATATAATGATGTATATATATATGTATATGTATATATATATATATATTTATATATTTATATATATATATATATATATATAATATATATATGTATATATATATATATATGTGTGTGTGTGTGTGCGTGTA